GCATCCTCAGATTTTGGTATCCTGAGTGTATCCTGGAACCAATGCCTCTCTGATATAGGAAAAGACTGGAGGCTGGGCGAGGTGGTTTATGCCTGTAATCCTAGCATTCTGAGAGGCAGAGGCAGGCGGATCCCTTGAGCTCAAGGATTTGAGACCAGCCTGAACAAGAGCAAGACCCCATCTCTAAAAATAGGGTATTGTGATGGGCACCTGTAGTCCCAGCTTTTAGGGAGGCTGAGGCAAGAGAATTGCTTGAGCCCAAGAGTTGGAGGTTGCTGTGAGCTATGACACCACAGCACTTTACCCAGGGTGACAAAGTGAGATTCTGTCTCAAAAAACAAAGAGGAAGACTGGAAAAGGAGCTATCCTCTATAAGAACAGATTATTAATAGCTTTCCACAGCCTTCCAATACATTTTTTAGCATGGCATTCATTGCCATCTATGGTCTGGTCCCCAACCTTTTGGGACACCCACCACATCCTTCTCACTTTTGAGACTACTCATAGTTCTCCAAACTTGCCATACACCTTCATGAATTTGCACATGCTGTTCCCTTACCTTGACATGCCTTCACCCTCCCCTGGTCTCCACTGATTAGATATTACTCAGGCTCACAGACCAGCTCATTCCTTCCTGTAGCTTTCCTCTGTTAAAGCTGACGCTCCCTGAGGCAGCTCTGTGGGAGTTTGCACCCTGGCTTGCCCTGGCCTTCTACCTACTGACTACAGTAATCTTTATCCTGCCTTCCTCACTACTGGAAAGTGCCAAGATTTGTAATCAGAGGGCTTAGGGACTCCACCATTAAATGGCCTTGGGTAAGTTATTCAACCTGTCTGAACATCAATTTATTAATGGAAGATTTTCTTTCCCTGTTTTGCAGGATTGATTGTGAATTAAGATTAAATCAGAATTGAGATACCATTTGAGAGCTCAATAATAAATGAGTATCTCTTCTCTGCAGGGATGCCTGTGGAAGCAGGGGGAAGTGTCTTACACCTTGTTGTCCCTCCTTTCGTGTTTGCTGTTCTTTCTGGTCTACACTAGCACTATCATAGAGGCTTGCAGAGAGTAGATGTTCCATAATTTTGACTGTTTATTTGAAATGAAGTGGGGAGCTGGTGGAGGGCAGGGGCATGACTCCTGTTCTTTGGAGAGCACCTAAAAGGCTGTGGCCCCAGCAAATTTAGTGACCAAGGACCTCAGATTCAACGGAAAGGTAATTGACACTGTGTTAATGGGTGGGGGAAGAAATGTTCATGAACGAGAGTAGGGCCCTTAGCAAAGTTTAAGCTTCTATTTGGCTGTCAAAGAGTTAATAAGTTTCCAAGTCTGATATTATTTGCATATTACCAAATTCTGCCCTTCTCACTCATTCTAAACACCCACGGATTTGTATATCTGTATCTATGCCTACGCAATTCTATTATCTTTTAAAAACCACTTCAGCATGCTTGTGTTATGCGCCACAATTTTGCATAACTCTGGACACAGAGAAATCTAAAATGAGATAGCAGAACACAAGTAGAAAATATGTAAGCAAGGCTATTTATAATTCTACGATTCAGTAGCTTATTGTCTTCACTAGAAGGTCACAGATTATCTTGTGTATTTATGCATGCAAAGAGCCTTTCTGAGAAGAAGAGAATAACATTTTGAGTTCTTCTGTTTGAAGGTGCAATGTAAATTCAAAATGGAACATAATTATCAATAGCAGAGAACAGTCTTCTAAATCTTCCTTATTAGGTGACCTTCAACTAAACTGATCTTATAAAAAACAGGGAATGAGGGGGAAAGAGTCAGAAACACTCAGGATTCAACTAAGAAATGGTTCTCCTTTCCCTTAAAAGTGCTTCATTGTAATGCCCCTTACAATGGGGTTTCTGGCCGATCTCATTGGCTTTGGCCCAATAGTCAATTCTCTCTTCTAGCTCTTGATTTTGAATAGCCATGTATTCAGCTCCAGGGAGGAACCATGATTATCTAAGCTAGCCATGGCAATCCTTGTCTTCTTTGCTAGATTTTTGGAAATATTCTCTTCACCAGCTCCTGTGTTCTCGCCAGTGTGATGAAAGGGAAAGTCCGCTGAGTTCTTGTAAGAATTGTTTTCTTTCTTTTTTTCTTTTTTTT